CTGCACAAGCACAAGGACCCGAGTTCGATCCCCGGTACCAAAAAATAAAAGTAAATAAATAAATAAAAAGAAGAGTTTGGATTTGGTGTTGGAAATCAGTAGTTCTTAAAAGCATTTTTAACTTGGGCTTTCTCGAACAGGATAAGCAATGCTAAGTGTATAATACATGCAACAATCTCAGCAACTTGGTATTCTGAGAGTCTATCATTCAGACAAAGTACAATTGGCTATTCCTGGTCTTGTACCATTCATATGCATGCCGGGACCCAGGATGCTCCATTCCACTGATCCAGGTTAGCACGGTATAGTAAGACAAATGCTGAATACTTTGGTTTTGCAGGCCATACAGCCTCTGACCCAACTACAGAATTCTATCACTGTAACACAAAAACAGCCATACACAGGTAAGAGCAGTTGTGTTCCAACAAAACTTTATTTATAGAAACAGGGAGCAGCAAACAAGCCAGATTTGGCCCAGGGGGTCACTGGCCAACCACTGGTCTAGGGTGTGGAGGAGGTGCAATGTGGAAGACTGTGTGAGAGGTTTTCACTTGGAAGTGGAATACATCTATTCTACTAAGTCTTTAATAAGCTAGAATCTGGTCATGTGTCCAAGATGAAGTGAAGAGTCTAAAGCTATGCTCTAGTTTTTTAAAGAAAAAACAATTTCGGTTTGGTGAACACACCCATTCATTTACACTTCCCCAGGCATATTTGTTTTTGAAAAATGATATTCTGCTAATAGAAAAAATTGTTGCTTTCCACATTATGAAGGAAAACATCCAACAATTTAGTTGATAGGACAGTTGTAAATGACAATAAAAATTTGACACTGACACAAATCAATAAAAAGCAAGAGCAGCAATAATTCTGAAACACAACTCACAACCAATTATAAACTTATATAACATTTTCTTGAAAACAACAAAAATTCCACTACACTTTCAAGTACAAATGCTGTAGGAGTCTGACAGGTACCAAGCATTCAAGTCAGATGATAACTGACTTCTCCATGGAAAACTGAATTAGTGTCAACAGTACGCGCAATGCAGAATGCTCATTAAACCCAACTCCTTTCCTGTTGAGTACACAGCTAACCCCTTTTCCATAACTGGCTGCAATGGGACTGGGACATAAATGAGCTCTGGCCAAGGGAATATAGGTGGATATAATGCACACTACTGCCAGGTTTGATACAAAGAAATGTTCCATCTCAGATGCTGCTCTTTCTTCCCTCTTGTACTGATCTCGGAAGCCATGTGACAAAAGGTGGCGCTACAAGAAAGCAGCCTGGTTCCTGAAAGACTGCCTGCAGCTGAATGACTTCATGGAGCAGAGCACCAACTTTTTCCATCTCCTCCATAACTGCTTTGTGAAAACAGTGAGCAATAAATTTTTACTGTAATAAACCACTGAGACGTAGCGTTATTACAGCCACTACCCTATGCTAACAGTCCTTACAGATTTCAGAATGCGTTATATGTTATAAATATTAAACTTTAGTAATCCTTTAAAACTTAGCTTTTCAACAATGTTTAAGTTGCATAAAAGTATGTACATATTCACCTTATGGGTGAGGTGTTCTCAGTCTATCAAGAAAGATCTCCACGGCTCAAGACTGGGCTGGAAGCAGATCTACAGGATGAAAATAGTATTCCAGGAAACTGGTCTGCTCACCTGTGTTCATTTATCCAAAATATCTAACACCTACTGTCTACGAAGCATCATGGTCGTCATGGTGGAAAGCAAGGGCAAAAAGATAAATGATATGCATATGCAGGCCCTGCGCTAAACTGTGATGGTGGGAGGGAAAAGGACTAAGCTGTTAGTGAACAATGTGATGCTCATAGAAGATGTAAGACTTATGCAGAAAATGCTACAGCTCAGGAAATCACCACCACTCCCTAGAAGTCCAAGAAAGGCTTCAAGGAAGCAGGGAGATATTACAAAGATTCTGTGAATTAGTAACTTCAGGAAAAAAGTGCTTTGAAGAGTCCTACTCTTTGTTGAAGTAACCCAATGTAAAGCCTATTTTCTTCTATTGTTTTCCACAAGGATATGGGAACTATTCCAAGAACAGAAGCAAAAAAAAGTATGTTTTATGACTTTCAATGTGATTTTTTTTCCAGTGGACTTTACCTACAAAATAAATAAAATTCTACTAACTTCTAACAAAATGTTCCTTGGTACATTTAAAATTTGGGGGCATAAAGAAAATACTCCAGTTTTAATCATACACATTATTTACAGTCCTTACATACCTGCAATCATAGGTAAACCAACTCACTCACCAAAAACAAAATCCAGTTTCACAGCTACATATCTTATCTTTAACCTTGTTCAGTATTCTTACAAAACACTGTTCCCAAGAACGCAAGGCTCTATAAAGAGATATATTTGGCCTCATTAGAAAAATAATTCATAGCACGTGTCCTAGTGATATGAACTGGTAGCTTTAAAAGTATATTTGGTTTGGATATTAATGTGAAAAATATAGGTCCCACGTAAGTGAGGGCTGATATTGGGAGGATACTATACATACAGTGCTATGTAAAGACAACAACACGTTGACAATATCCTCCCAAATTCTACCCAGGATAAAGATGCTTGCTGAAAATGTGAACTGTACTCTTTTTCTAGTTCTATTTATGCTGAATGCATCCTTCTGTCTTTTTACACTTAATTAGAGCTACCCCTTTGTCACACGTTTTACATTTACCGCAAAGATGGCCTATGACACAAAGAGTAACTTTTAGAAATTTACACAGTATGTCCTCATATCTAGTGTTTTATAAACATGAAGGAGAAAAACAGTTTTGAAAGTAAAAAACTTTATGTAATTGCAATATTTTTATACATACATCATAAACAGCTGTATTTTTTTATCGAAACCCCATTAATATTGAAGTAACCTAAAACAAAGTCTATATCAAAAGGTCACACTCACTTTTAAATCCTATGGCAGTCCATGTATACAAGTCCAAACACAAACCGATTAAAGATTTGAGGATACTTATTTTTTCATATGTTTACTTTACTTAAAATATTATTTTTGTACTATTTCCTATTTCTTTGCTCTTCACTAAAATTATCTAAGTTATTTTAGACAATTCTTTCCAATAATCTTTTGCAAAAATAAGTTCAGTAAAAGGTGAAGGAAGGAAATATATTTTTACCTACCCATGTAATTTAGAATTTAATGAAATATTCAGGCACAATATATGAAATACCAATATAAAATATTTTAGAATACCACATCAAAACTATAAACTCTTCAATAAAAATACTGGTAACTATATAACATTTTATTTTTCAGGAGTACATCTATAAACAAAACTAAATGATGCTTTCTAAAATCACAGCAAATACCCATTTATTGATAAAAGAAAGCAAAATAAATACAAACTTTCCTATGAAAACTTTAAATTTATATTTTCTTTTTTTTGGTACCGGGGATCGAACTCAGGTCCTTGCACTTGCGAAGCAGGCGGTGGAACCACTGAGCTAAATCCCCGGCCTAAATTTATATTTTCTAACACGTCACAGAAGGTACACAAACAAGATGTTTGAGAGAAAAGCCTAAAAAGTGACTGTTAGCACATTTTCTATTCGTAGAGGAACAAAGAAAATGCTGCTTTTTTTAAAAAAGACATAGAGCCGAGGATTTAGCTCAGTGGTTCCGCTGCCTGCCTCATAAGTGCAAGGTCCCGAGTTTGATCCCTGGTACCCCAAAAAATAAAAATAAAATAAAATAAAAAGATATAACAATGCATAAAACATAATACAGGTTGAGTTTCACTTATCCAAAATGCTTAGGAAGCAAAGTGTTTCAGATTTTGGAGCTTTTTAAATTTTGGAACATTTGCATTGACTTTACAAGCTAAGTATTCCTATTCCAAAAATTCAAAATCTGAAATGCTCCAAAACCCAAAACTCAAAGAATTCTATTATTATGAAACCATTAACACTTATGCCAGTATTTCTTAAGAAAAAGCATTTCATATTTTGGATTTTGGCTTAGGGATGCTCTCATTGTGGCAGTCGCCATTCACCAGTTCCTATACGATTTATCCTCACTGAATCACACCCTTAGGTATTATTTTCCTCATTTCAAAGATGAAGATGCTGAGGTTTATAGAGGTCACAGCACTACCAAGCCAAGATTCCCATTCAGGTCTATGAAGAAAACTTTCATTACGTGGCAAACATTCCATTGTGCACTTCTATGAAAATAACATAAGATTTCATTAAATTCATCTTATTCTTTTCTTGAGGTTTCCTTAATCAGTTTACCATCATTCACTTCTGCATAATCCATAATGGCATTTAAATGTAGATAGTTCCAACTTCTAAGGGATAATATACACATAGTATATACACATAAGTGAGAATTCAGAGTTTAAAACTCTAATCTTTATCATAATAATTTCTACAACTATAAATCATCATATCCCTTTAGTGTACCATACCAAAGTACCCACAAGAGTCACTGAATTCCAATAAACATTCACAAGTAAAAACTTTTCTAAACAGTAATTTAATAAGTATAGTTAGCATCTATTATGAAACCATAAGTACTTAAGCCAGTATTTCTTAAATAGGCCATGGGCTGCTACTGGCCTACTGTTTCTCCAGATAGTCCAAGAATCAATACCTGGAAAATATACAGAAACAGCTTTCTAACACCTCTGGGTTATGCACTCTCGTCATGTCTCATCAAAAGCCACGATGCTTTCCCCAAAAGTTTTGGAGAGGTTCGAGCACACATAAATAGGAGCAGACTAGGGGAGGGAATAAGAATCTTTTATTCATCCAAGATAAAAAGTTCAATTCAGAAGATGTATGTAGCACTGCTTGGCTCTATAATTAATTTTAAAAATAGGAATTTTTTCAAGTAAAATGAAACAAATTTAAAATATCCATGTATTTAAAAGGAGTATTTGATATTTCCAAGTACAAGATTTTCCCAAAGAGCACAAATTCCCCCATATTAAGCTTACCTTGAAGATGGCATTATATTTGAAGCCCTGAATTTTGTTGTAAACGGATTAGTTGAGTCATAATCAAAATAGTCCTGCCGATTTTCACTAAAAGCATTAGGTGATTTCAAGTCACAAGGGCTATCAGATCCCCCATTGTTAAGTTTATCAGACCTTCTGGTTTCTTTTTTCCCAGTCACTCTTTCAAACAGGCTAACTTTCTCCCTTTTCTCTCTTTTATTTTCTTTTCTTACTTCAATTGATTTTGAAAACAAATTCATGCTACTGTCCCATGATTCACTGCTTTCTTCAAATGGATTCTTCTTTCTTGGCAGTGTTGCAAATTTTTGGGGTAATGAAGCAGTCACGTTTGTAAATAGGTCATTTTGTCTTCCAAAAGACAATTCACCTTCATCCACAATGCTGTCAGGTTGGTTCATTTTAGAAGTATCAAAGCTTAATGTTCTTCTGTGTGGAGATTTGAGACTTCCTACAAACAATTTTGTACTTAGTACACATTACATCACACTATTTGACACATTCTACTGCTTTTAGAATAAGCACAATTAGCTATTTAAAGGTATTAACCTTAAAAATAATCAAAGAAAACCTTAAAATGGTAAGGTATAGCAGTCTGAAGTATCTAGGTTATTAATAATTAGTGCACTGTTAGACAATTACTAATTTCTTAGGCTCAGAAACCACCACATAAACAAATTATGATGTCAAGAATCTGTTGGTATGATAATGCTGGAAATTCTGAAGGATATTTCTTTGTTACATATTAGCATTGTTTACTTTCTTACTGCTGAACATAAAAGTATTTTTTTAAGGACATTATGAAATGGAATATTCATTTATGCTTCTGGCTTTCAAGATGGAAGAAACAGCAGTTATAAAAGAAGCCTGGCCATGAAGGGAGACTGGGACTCATTTATTATTATCTAATAATATAAATATAAATGCAAACAACCTCTGCCTTCAACAAACATCATTTAGGGGTATTAAAGGCACACAATACTTAATATGTGACTAAATTTAGAAAATACAAGAAACTGCATTTTTATTTTCTAACTTTAAAAATTAAATCTTAAAACCTGGAAAATTATTTCAGGCTACTAAAGGTACAATTAGAAAAAAGGAACCACTTACCACTTTCTGGAACTGCACCAAAGGAATCTATCTGGCGTCCAAGATGTGTTTGACCTACAGCGCCAGACTTTAGTTTCTCCGAAGATACGTGGGACCCAGTTAAATCAGACATTGAATGTGCAGAAGAGAGTCTCTGAGGACCCAAAAGAAAAGGTTTTTTTGGTTTGGATTTCATCTGTATTTCACCACTTGAAAACTCAGTATTGGCATCTGGCATGTGAGTACTTGGAATGATTGCAGAAGACGTATCAGAAAATGTTCCATCATTTTTTCTACCTTTCATCTTATCTTTTAATTTTGCAAAAGGAGATCTTGTTTTGTCCTTCATTGATAAGTCAAACATACTTGCTGTCATATTGTTCCTCATGAATTGAATATTGACCTTTATCTCACCCCTGCTTTTGACTCTTTTTCCTTGTTTGGATTCTAATCTAAACCACCTTAAAGAAAAGAAAAAACAGGTTGTAATATTTAATAAAGAAAGGAAGCCAAGCTTTGTTATATACAAATAGCTACATCATCCAAAGCTACCCATTAAGGTAGTCTATGTACTGAATGAGAACCTGCTTGCCACAGTATTTACAGTTTTCCCAACTGTTTGACTTTAAAAAACTGATCAGTTTCTATGATGTGACATATACTATGGCAACAGATCTTTTGTGAATATGATAAGGTGTTTAGATAACATTTTCTTTTATAGTTGAAAATTACTCATTAAAAATTTTTACCAACAATAGTTAATATGCTTCCGCATAGGATAATTATTTTTAATGGCTAAGGACATTTTTTCACATTAAAAGATACTGAGACAGACATTTTCAAAGAATTTGTCAATTACTCTAAAGTGCTATAATATTGTAATAAAATCTTAGTCCATCCCAGCATACTACTTATGTAAAAGTATCAAAAGAATTTTGTTAACATTGGAGACCACTACAAATGGTTTACTAATCATTAAAGCTGTGAATGATGTAATTTAAATTAATCTTAAATATATTAAAGCCTTTCAAATATGCAAAGGACAACAAATCGTTGTTTTCAAAAAAGTTTAAATGCTTCTGTTGGAATCTGTTTTCATTTACTATTGCTACTGTAACACTACTGAATAAAAATTACTTTATAAATAAAGCCAAATCATAAGCTTTCAATCACATCAGCGTATTATACCACCCATTTTTAAATGATGTATGAGAAGCAAAGTTTATTTTGGTTTTGTTTATAGTACTTCTATCTGTGAGGAATTCTCTCGGTCTTGGTGTCACAAGTGGTCATTCTTCAGGGCAAACAGCCAAAAAACCCTGCAAAAATCAAGTCTAGAAAAGTGTTTCTACAATGTATTCACATTACTTAGCAATGAAGCATGGCCACCATTACTTCAGACAAGTTATTAAATACAGCTCTACTTGAGTATAGCAAATTTCCTTAGCTCCAAAGGAACTCTCATCTAATTTTACATTAGTCCTTTCATTGTTATCAACAAGATATGCCAAGAAAAACTGCATTTACTATATATCTAGTGGAAGACTAGTTTACAGACTTTTCCAAGAAAGAGAGGGAATGGTGATTAATATTTATATCAACTACATCTTAGCAAGTAACATGAGAGCGAAATGTCTTTTCTTTATTCATTATATTGGAGCAATTAAGAAATATAGTAGTTGTATCAAAATAAGCTATTTCTTAGAAGAGAATTTATTTTTCCTTAAATTCTTTCATTGGTACATTTTAGGTATACAATACGTTTACATTTATCATTGGGTGTTTGCACCTGTACATGATGTATCTTGGTTCTTATTTTTTCCCCATTACCTGTGTGCCCTTCACCCCCTCTATCCTTCCCTATTTACATAGAAGAGAAAATTTTTAATTGAAAGTGTTAACGTGAGACCAAAATCCTTCATGTAAAGCAAACAGAAAAATCTGAAGAAACAGAGGCCAGAAACAAAATGACAGTAATAAACTGTAGACTAGAGAACCTTGAAAGATACAAAACTAAGCACGCAAAACGCCTGGGAAGGAAGCAAGGCTATACCTCCAGCAATTCACTCATGTTTTGGAAAACAGAGCCATTTTCAGCTGGGGAGGGAAGGAACACTTTTGATGGACGATACCTCAGCAACACTCTGTCACATCTCAGGTTAGACAGAAAATACGTGAATGCAGTTTGTGAGAAAACAAGCAAATGTGGAATTTGTATGTGTATAATAAAGCGAATCTGAGAAGAAAATAAACCAGTTAACTTCCCAAAAATGAAAAAGATAAAAATTCATAGAATTTTAGATGTAAGAGCAAGTAAAATTATCTACTTTAACATCCTTATTTCACAGATGAGGAAATTGAGGCACAGAGAATAATATGTAATTTCCCAACATCAGAGTAAAGTCAAATAAGGAAAAAAAATCTAAAGCTGATGAATAACAGCTGTAGGAAAATAGTTCTTCCTTATTTGACGAACCACATGTGTTAATAAGGTTAACCACATGGCTGCCACACGTTACAGGATACTGTAATTATTCAGGAGGCATGATAGCCAAAGAAGATTTTCTGCCACCAGAGTATAAGCTTCTTGAAGGCAGTTTACCCTATACTGAATAAAATGTTTACTCAGTGGTTATTTCCAGAACCAGTATTCTTAAAATCACCAATCTACAACAACATGCACGTGCATGTGGTACTGTACTGTTTTTCAGTAGGGAACTCCAGAGAATGTTAAGCTTTAAAGTATAAAGCAACTCCGTATTTCAATAAAAATTATAAATAGTGTATTTTCCACCCCCCAAACAACCCTGCAAAGTATTCTAACATTCTAAATTAGTGTATTCTAACAAATACACTAATTAAAAAAATAAGCATGATAATTAACTTTAGCTGCTTTGTTTTGAAATTGATGTAAGGAGAGAAGTCTTAATGAGACCTTCAAAAATCATTCCTGAGATAGTGTTTATTTTCCCAGGCTTCAAAAAGATAAAATGAAGACACAGCATTTGGGGCTTACTGGATTAACGCGGATTTTTTTCACCTCTGGAGCACTGGATTTAAACTGTTTATGGCCTCTGTTCAATTTTTAGTGGGCACAGGTCCATGTCCAAAAACCACCACACATGTGGGAACTATTTCCAAGCAATTGGTGCTGTGTGGTCAGAAACGGGACAAGATTGGCAGTAAGGGTGCCAGAGGCCAGGATGCAGGTGCACAAAGGAGACTCCCACAAAAGTCCTAAAACCACATATGTTTCAGTCCTGTCTAACTCTGGGGCCTCTTGACTGTTACTTCTTTCCATGAGCATTAAAAAAAAAAAAAAAAATCAACATCACCTACTTCTGTTGTTAAAAAAAAAAAGGATATTACATAATAGCATCAACAATTTTACCATTCTCTTATTAAATATTGTATTATTTCCTTAAATTGCGCACCACAACCAACCCAAATATCCATCGAAGGGGTAGATACAGAGGTTCTCTATCCACTAAAAGGGTCTGGCTCGGGCCCTTTACCCTTTTTCTTTAAAAGAAAAAAGTATTTTCAAGGTGTAAAACAAGTAATAAAGTACTTTTACTATTCCATTTCTTTGCCTTTTATGACATGACTGGAAGACAAAATGTAAATACTTGTCTTCAGTGTCAAAAACTAAAACGTGTCACATCCAGCAGTTTCATGGGACTTCAAGATCAGCTGGTAGCCTTCATCACTCACACCAGTTTTTTAAAAAGTGCTTGGGAATATGACGACAAGGTTTAGCAACGTGCAGAATATTAACTGTCTTTCTTGCAATACACCGGAAGCTCAAGTCTGTCTCTTACTGTGCCACATGTACAGCTGTGCCGGAAAAAGGAAGCTAGTAAATATATTAAAAATCTAGAAATATTACCAATGAAGATTATCTCATTAAATACGTGTTCCCCATTTATCCACAAAGAAAATGTTCAAGGTTTAATAACATATGAAAATCACCTGAATGCAAGCCCTGTTGATAACATTTCAAAGCATTTCCCCCCTGCAGTCCTAATCAATTTTATATAAAGACTACAATATTAAGGGTATTGCTTACGGCCATGTTTAGTGTAACTGATCCTGCCAAAGACAGGAATAAAACAAGAAGAAACTTTAAAATGTTCATTCTCAGACTTTTTCAGACTTGGGCCTACTTTAACTTAAAAAATTTATGCCTTGGAGGCCTGCACTATATTATTCATTACTATTAAAAGTACCATTTAAACATAGTAAGAAATTTGAAGTCAAAATATACTCAAAAGTTTATATTCAAAACCATTTACAAAGTATATACTAAGAGTCACCCCAAATTGACAATTTGAAACAAATTATTTGGTAATTACTCATTTTTCATTTTAAATTTGATGATGAATCCTGTATAGGAAACTGAATGCCACTTTTTAAAGTATCAAATAGTTCTGCTATTAAAATCATCTGTAAACAGGCAACTTTAAAAAATAAAACTTTTCTTTAAAAATACTTCTCATCAACTAGTTTAAATTTTTACCATTTGTCTCCTGCATTCCTATTTCTCATCTCACTACCCTTTCACCCTACATATACTGAATCTTAAAGACCTGATTCAAAACAAAACAATAAACTCCCATTGTGAGAAGTCTACAGGCAGTTAAATACATAAAAAGCAAGAGATGGTTGTTTTAAAATATAAGAAATTAACATGAACTTAATGAAAATTATTACTGTACAATAGTTTTTAAAGAGTACGTAAATTTCAGTTATGACTGAAAGAAAAATCAAAACTACTCTGGAAATGTGAACTACTCTTACAAGTTCAGTTCATTTCTCTCCCGTTAATTTCATTGATCTTGATGTTCTTTCCGGCTTAAAAAAAAAAACCTGTAAAGTTAAGGGTGGCTGAATTATCTATTTCTGAAAACTTTTTTTTCAATTTAAGATATAGACTAGTATTCATTTGTATTATGATTTTTTAAATTAAAATATACCTCACTCAAGCTTGAGAGACTGAAAAGGCCATATTTGCATTGAAGAAGTCATTAAACCGCTTCATCACAAGAATTTAATCATTGTCTGGGATCTTAACAGCAGTTAATAAGGTCTAAACATACTAGCTTTGCAAAAGTAACTCTAAAGTAATACAACAGCTCCAGGATACTGCAAATTCAAAGGAAAATGTTAGTGAGTTCAAGATTGAGCATATTTGTGCGTACTTTCAAAACTTTTAACACCTTTTTCTAACAAGACGCACTGACGCTGAAAAATCGTTAGGCTAAATTAAGGGCCAGCTGTGTTTATAATTCTAAAATGAAATACTGAGTTTTAAAATTGGTAACACATCGTTTGACAGCCACAGAGTTCATCATATATAAAAACATTACATTGGAAGATTTAATTTTCTCATCTTCTATATCATGGGAAATTGTAATGTTTAAAGAACATAATTTGTACCTACAATAGTTCTAGTCGGCCAAAACCAGTCCTTTTAAAAAAGTGAAATAATATTAATTTTCTTAAAATCCGGTGCAAAACATTCAATTATTTAATAGATGTTTACCTCAGACAGAAAGGAGGAATAATGGATAATTAATCACTCCATTTAAAAAAGGTTTCATCACAAGGGCTATTTTTACTTCAGAGTCATGCAAATAGGGTGCTTAAAACTGGGTCATATTTCAATCCAAAACCAATGCCCCTAGTACACAAATATATTTCCAAGAACAGAAAATCCATAAATAAGGTATAGTTAAGGTCCCCAAAATTCAAAACAAATTACATAACTTACTCTGTTTTCCTTCTTTGTTTGTCCTCAAAGATGTCATTGAGATTGATTGCCACCTGCCCTAAAAATTTATCCAGCCCCACCAGGGATCTGTGCATAACTATAAGGAAAAGAATGTATTTCTCTGGATTCCCCTGCATTAGCAATCCAGGCAGCTCAAAGGAGGCCTCTTCCTTCCAGACTGGCTCAAGGGTTTTCTCAGCTACAGAGGTGGAATACTTTTCCTTGCCCAGCTGAATTATAGTGTATGTGTCATTGGTGCCACTTTTGCCTTTTGGCTTCAGATCTTTGGCTTGGAGCACTGTGACCTGCACGTGGGTTGGGAACCACTTTTGGGCTTGCTCAGAAAGCATCATTCTGTCCTTTTTCTCCGCACTGAGTTCACAAGCGCAGGCAGTGCCCCTCCCTCAAGGAGAGCCTAATTCCTCAAATCACAGCATTCTCGGGGCATTTAACGGAGCCAGGCCGACTCGGGGCTGCCCAAAGCCCCTAGGGCTGGTGTCAAAACGCCTCACGGGGGCAGCCTGGGGTCACGGCTGCTCTGGGGATCCCTGTCCTCTGGAAAAGCACAGGGGCCCACATCACCTGGCCACGCCGTCCAGGCCTCCGCGCCTCACGTCTCCACCTTCCCACGGCGCCCGCCCCGGGCACCGGCCTGGGCGGCGGGCGGCGGGCGGCTCCTGGGCCTAAGGGGAGGGGAGGCCTGGCCGCCGTGCCACCGCCCCGACTCTACGCCTGCCTCCTTGCGGCCGGGCCTCCGCAAGCCTCCCGCCCGCCGTGCGCGGGTCTGCGGGCCCGTCGCGGCTCCTCCTCCCGACCCCGGTAATACGAACCGCCGGCGACTCGCGCGGCCTCGCTCCCGCTCGCCAACCTCTCCCTCCTCCTCCCTCTCGCCCGGGCTCCTCCTATCGGGCGGGGAGGGTCGCCCGAGGGCGGAGTGGCACGGGGCGGGGGATACGACTGCCCCAACGCCGGCGGGCCGCGGGGCGGGCCGCGAACTGCCGGGCAGCGGACGCAGGGATAAGCCAGGCCGGGCCGCCGGCTCCTAGCACCGGGAGGGCGGCGGCCGCGGCACTTCCGGGTTAGCCTTCTCCATGTTGGTCTCAGCAACGCGAGGGGCGGGGCGGGGCGGGGTGGGGCCGCAGGGTCAGGGGTTAGCCCCTCCCCCGTTGCTATGGCGACCGGGGCGGGCGACGCGGGACGCTCCCGGGCTAGGTCCTTGGTGAATCCTGACCAGGTGTTGGGCTCTGAGGACTCAGGGCCCTGCAAAGGCCCACACGAGGGGAGAGGTGGGGGCCTCCCAAGAGGAGATCTCGATGCCCTGGAGATTGCCCGAGCTAGGGAGGGACCCGATTGCAGTCTTTGAGGATGGACTCTGCTCTTGTCTACCCGGGATGCCCTTGCGTGGCTGAGCTCGGGTTCCAGCAGTGACGGTGGACTGCATTGGTCTTCTTCACTGACTGAAACGTGTTTTGCTCCAACCCTGTATCTATCCATTTCGAAAAGAGAAGAGCCCGTCATTTGACTAAAAGTGACATCGCTCACCCAGACTAAGGAAGAGAGAGAAACCAATTAAAGATCACAAAACTAACGCAGGGATTAATAGAGTTCAAGGAAAGAGGCACTGGGGTTGGCGTCTGCCGCCATCAGTCTATGTGACCTTGGCCAAGTTATTTCCCTTGTCTGAGCCTCAGCTTTTACACGGATAAAACAGCTTCAATTAGTCTCAGACTCCGTCATAACTATGGGGTCCAAAATCATTTCTTGGGCACTCACAGTCTGGTACACTATTTGGATCATGCGGAAACCATGTCCCAGTTTTAGAAGGATAGATTGGAAGAACTTAGGAAATGATACATGGACCTCCCTGGCTCAGTGTGGCACATACTTCTAAGTCTCCCTTTGTCCTTCTATTTCCCAGTTACAAGAGACGTATCTCTGTTACCTTTATTTCCATTCATGTCTTCCCAAGGAAATTCTAAGTCCTTTGGAATAACTTGTGTGTCATGCAAAGCCTTTATAGAGCTAAGCATGCAGTAGACATGCTAGCCAATTTATTGTGTAACTTAATGCCTTTTCTCCTTTTACGGGACTGATGTTAAGAGTAAACCAGTATGATAGCTATGAATTAACTTTTTTCAACTTGTAATAGCCACAAACATGTAAGATACTGTGTTTATTATTTTCAGGCCAAGTTTAAAACTTCTCCATTGTGGCAGAACTTTCCATCCCTGGGAGACAGCTTATGCAGGACCACGTGTAGAAACCAGAATAAAATTATCTCACTGTGTATATAGCATCTGGATCCCAGAGTGGGCAGTTGTCAACTTTAAACAAAAATATGCTTAAGGATTTTTAAAAAGTACATTGAAACAGACAGTGGTGGAATTTGACCAGCATCTCTAGGGAGAAATAATTTGACACCTGAAGCTTACAAAAACCAAATAAGCATCATGAAATCCAATTTAATTGTTTAGAACTTTTATAAATTGCGTTTTTAAAGGCTTGTGTCTCTTTTAAAAGTTGTAATTAAATAAACAATCGGCGATTAATTAGAATAGTGAATGTGTGTTTCTAAAGAGCTTAAATTGTTTGGTAAGCTTTATTAATGATTATAAACTTGTTTACAAGTATCATTTCACTCATCTCTGAAATATAGCCATCTCTAGGGTGGAATTTGGCAGCAGTAGTTCACAGCAACGCAATAACAGACTCCAACACAAGCAGAGAATACTCTAAAGACAAGAGCTGAGCAACTGGAATTGCTAACCTCTCTTCCTGTTGCACCTAAATTTCTTTTGAGTTGTCATAAAACCTGGCTAGAGCAAAAATTGTTTAGTCTTACTAACTGGCAACATCAGAACTTATCACTTATTGTTTTAAAGCCAAAATAAGAAAATAGCATATTCTTGCTCAGAGGGGAAACAAATAAATAAGTCATATGAGCTAAATAGAATCTAGAATTAGATTATAAAAGAGAAATCATTCTGTTTTTATTAAGAAAATAAAAGATGTAGGCTGGGTCAAGTAAATAGTTGGCTCATATGAAAAATAATGGCAATAATATAAAACCTTGGATCAAAGTGATTCTGCCAAAATGTTTATTGTCTTACAGTTTTAATGCTGCTTTTATTAATTTTAAGATCTATATGGACAGTAATTGTAAAAGGGGAAGAAGGATTGCCTACATAAGGACAACATACCAGAATTAAAGAGAATCACTTTTTTTATTATTGTACTATTACTAATGATATGTCCAGAAATGTTTGGTATAATTCCAAAATCAAGGGCTTGAGAAAATTTTATACAAGAAAAGTGCTGAAAATTCTAATTTTAAACTATTACAATCCTTGCTGCAATGAATGAATAAGAATGGTTTGACCAGAAAGTTAAAATGGTCAACATCATTCCCCAGGCACAGAGGGTTTCACAGATGAAAACACTTACTAAGTGCTGCACCTTTCAGTGAAGTCCAAGCATTGTGGAAGACGTTCCCTCTGGACGTCAGCATCTCTAAAATCATGTCTTGCAAATCTTTTGTAGGACAATGACAACACTCTCAGTGTTTAAATAGCCCGCTGGGTTGGGAGTGTTAATGCTCCCGTATATATTATGTAATGACTATTAACCACTTTCCAGATGGAGATGCAGAAACATCAGGTCAGCAAGAAGTTTTCCCAAGGTATCATTACAGTCTTCGGATTTCACATATATACATCCACACACCTCAAATATACATACAACTGAAATGTCTATAAAGTTCATACATGTATACATATGCCAGAGGTATGTTGAAGATACATAGATCAATCTTCATAGAACCAGTAAAAAACTAAAAAAGCATCTGGCAAATTGATTTGAAGTTATAATAGCAATGAACTCGTATTGGGGGATTTGGGGGATTGTTTTGTTTTCATCAGTGAGTTGATTAATTTGCCTTCTGGGACTAGGCAGTGTATGTAGCAGGCTGTGCTATGTGAGAAGCAACATGGTATTTGTAGATAGAGCTCCAGCCAGCAGCCTGGGTTTTAATCCCAGGTCCACCTATCCTAGCCACATATCTTTAGGGAAGTAATTTCTCTTCTCTGGGCCACCTGTAAAATAAGAGTCTGTGAGAGCAGCCACTGATGTACCCCTCTAACATTCAGTAATTCCAAGTAGTACATCCACAACACAAAGACACAAATTGCATTATAATTATCTAATTGAATTTGGAAAATATACTAAAGCAGATTTCATTTTTATGTAACTTATTAATGAAGGATTCTCTAATTCAGGAGGGAAAAATATATTCTTTAAGATGTCTTGAAATCCCTCTCTCTCAAATGAAAGTAATTAATGATCACAGAGAGGAAATAAATATAACTTTTATTAATAGGCCCTGCAAGAGGAAATTGGCACCAACAGTTCAAGAGTTGGAAGGAATTATATGTAAGTGCATGTGGTTTTGAAAAGCCTTAAACTTTTTACTTGTAGTAATAAACATAACCTCTGTTCCATAATGTTTGTAGGTTTTTAAAACTTTTTTGATCATGCTGAGGAAGATAGGAATTTATGAGATAGAATTCATATTTGTACGTAATCATGTTCGGGATATATATCTTTCAACTTCTTATCCATGTTATTGTGCTGTCATATTGTACATTTTTTATACCCTCAATAAAAAGAATGCATATTAAAGCATAGAAGAGGAATTGATTTACTTTAACTGTTACATGATACGGGATGAGATGAATAAGTTTCATCTGATCTTTTGTCCTTCCAAAGGATGTTGAAGTGTTTCCAATTTTTCAACTATCATAAACAGTATTGCATAAACATATAATCTATGTCTTCTATGCACATATGTGGGGATTTTTTTGGTAATTATACCTGTTTTTGACAATTGATGATGAAATTATTCAAAGTTTATGACTGTTACTGACGAACATCAGTTCTAATACTGGTACTATAAACTGAAGAGCTTCAGACCTGGCAAGCTATAATCTCTCTGTGCTTGAGCGATTCCAGATCTAGAATCCTCAAAGTCCTTTTATTATATTTCTGAATAACAGAGATTAAACTGGGTATAGTGGCACATGCCTATAATCCCAGCAGTTGGGAGCCTGAAGCAGGAGAATCGCACAAGTTGGAGGCCAGTCTGGGCTACGTAGTGAGTTCCAGACCAGCCTGAACTACATAGTGAGACCCTGTCTCAAAAAACCAAACTAAACCAAACCAATCCAACAAACAAAAAAACAGATTATTGCTCTTGCGAGAAGACTTTTGAGAAGACTTAAGTATTTGTCTACAAATTTCAATTGTCTCATCATTGAGGAGTCTTTCTTGAAATTTTCCAGAACATTGCTTTAGGTTTTTAGCAAAGTCTAGAGAATCTTGTTTATTACTGAAAGAAATGATTATCAGAGTTACATATATTTAGCATCTTATACGTTGTAAATACTTGTTAATTTTTATGTATTATTAAAATTCAAAAACAGGTATTTTTAAGCAAGTAAGAGTTTTTAATTATATTTCTGGAATGTTCTATAATATATTTCTGGTATATATATTCATTTGAAGAGCATTAAACTAGTGAGCTGCTGGATAAAGAATTTGGAGGAGTGTTTCTCCTGTCACA